GTAAATCAATTAATCACAAACATAAAGAAACTCATTGGTAATAATACCATAATAGTAGGGGACTTCAACATCCCACTTACAGCAATGGACAGATCATCTAATAAAAAACTCAACAAGGAAATAACGGCTTTGAATGACACACTGGACCAGATGGACTTAACAGATATATTCAGAACATTTCATCCTAAAGCAGCAGAATATACATTCTTCTCCAGTGCACATGGAACGTTCTCCAGAATAGACCACATACTGGGACACAAATCAGCCCTCAAACAAGTACAAAAAGATTTAGATCATACTGTGCATACTTTCAGACCACACCACTATGAAACTTGAAATCAACCACAAGAAAAAAATTTGGAAAGGTAACAAATACTTGGAGACTGAAGAACATCCTACTAAATAATGAATGGGCTAACCAAGAAGTTAAAGAGAAAATTAAAAAGTTCATGGAATCCAATGAAAATGATAACACCACAACCCAAAACCTCTGGGATGCAGGAAAGGTGGTCATAAGAGGAAAGTATATAACAATTCAGGCCTTCCTAAAGAAGGAAGAAAGATCTCACATACACAACCCAACTTTGCACCTTAAAGAGCTGGAAAAAGAACAGCAAATAAAACGCAAACCAGCAGAAGACAGGAAATAATAAAGATGAAAGCAGAAATTAATGCTATGGAAACCAAAAAACAAAAAAACAAACAAACAAACAAAAACAAACAAGCAAAAAACAGTAGAACAGATCAATGAAACCAGAAGCTGGTTCTTTGTTTTTTTTTTTTTTTTTTTTTTTTTTTTTTTTTTTTAAATTTTTTTTTTCAACGTTTTTATTTATTTTTTTTGGGACAGAGAGAGACAGAGCATGAACGGGGGAGGGGCAGAGAGAGAGGGAGACACAGAATCGGAAACAGGCTCCAGGCTCTGAGCCATCAGCCCAGAGCCTGACGCGGGGCTCGAACTCCCGGACCGCGAGATCGTGACCTGGCTGAAGTCGGACGCTTAACCGACTGCGCCACCCAGGCGCCCCAGAAGCTGGTTCTTTGAAAGAATTAACAAAATTGATAAACCACTACCCAATTTGATCAAAAAGAAAAAGGAACGGACCCAAATAAAGAAAATCAAGAATGAAAGAGGAGAGATCACCACCAACACAGCAGAAATGAAAACAATCATAAGAGAATATCATGAGCAATATACACCAATAAAATGAACAATCTGGAAGAAATGGACAAATTCCTCGAAACATATACACTACCAAAACTGAAACAGGAAGAAATCAAAAATTTGAACAGACCCATAACCAGTAAAGAAATCGAACTAGTAATCAAAAATCTCCTCAAAAACAAGAGTCCAGGGTCAGATGGCTTTCCAGGGAAATTCTAACAAACATTTAAGGAAGAGTAACACCGATACCCTTGAAGCTGTGCCAAAAAATAGAAATGGAAGGAAAACTTCCAAACTCTTCCTATGAAGCCAACATTACCTTGATTCCAAAACCAGACAGAGACCACACTAAAAAGGAGAACTATAGACCAATTTCCCTGGTGAACATGGATGCAAAAATCCTCAATAAGATATTAGCCAACCGGATCCAACAATACATTAAAAAAAAATTATCCACCACTACCAAGTGGGATTTATACCTGGGAGGCAGGACTGGTTCAATATGCACAAAACAATCAATGTGATTCAGCACACCAATAAAAGAAAGGACAAAAACCACATGATCCTCTCAATAGATGCAGAGAAAGCATTTGACAAAATAATTTCTTGATAAAAACCCTCAAGAAAGTAGGGATACGAGGATCAAACCACAAGATCATAAAAGCCATATATGAAAGACCCAACGCTAATATTATCCTCAAGGGGAAAAAACTGAGAGCTTTCCCTTAAGGTCAGAAACAAGACAGGGATGTCCACTCTCACCACTGTTATTCAACATAGTACTGGAAGGCATAGCCTCTGCAATCAGACAACACAAAGAAATAAAAGGCATCCAAATTGGCCAGGAGGAGGTCAGACTTTCACTCTTCGCAGATGACATGATACTCTATACGGAAAACCCAAAAGATTCCACCAAAAAACTTCTAGAACTGATTCATGAATTCAGCAAAGTTGCAGGATATAAAATCAATGCACACAAATCGGTTGCATTCCTATACACCAACAATGAAGCAACAGAAAGAGAAATCAAGGAATCTATCCCATTTCCAATTGGAACAAAAATGATAAAATACCTAGGAATAAATTTAACCAAAGAGGTGAAAAATCTCTACACTGGTAACTATAGAAAGCTTATAAAAGAAATGGAAGAAGACACAAAAAAATGGAAAAATATTCCATGCACCTGGATAGGAAGAACAAATATTGTTAAAATGTCAATACTACCCAAAGTTATCTATATATTCAATGCAATTTCTATCAAAATAACACCGGAATTCTTCACAGAGCTGGAACAAATAATCCTAAAATTTGTATGGAACCAGAAAAGACCTCGAATAGCCAAAGCAATCTTGAAAAGAAAACCAAAGCGGGAGGCATCACAATCCCAGACTTCAAGCTATACTACAAAGCTGTAATCATCAAGACAGTATGGTACTGGCACAAGAACAGACACTCAGATCAATGGAACAGAATAGAGAACCCAGAAAGGGGCCCACAAACATATGGCCAACTAATCTTTGACAAAGCAGGAAAGAATATCCAAGAGAAAAAAGACAGTGTCTTCAGCAAGTGTTGTTGGGAAAACTGGACAGCGACATGCAGAAGGATGAACCTAGACCACTTTATTACACCCTACACAAAAAGAAACTCAAAATGGATGAAAGACCTAAATGTAAGACAAGAAGCCATCAAAATCCTTGAGGAGAAAGCAGACAAAAACCTCTTTGATCTTGGCTGCTGCAACTTCTTACTCAGCACATCTCCAGAGGCAGGGAAACAAAAGCAAAATGAACTATTGGGACCTCATCAAAATACAAACTTCTGCACAGCAAAAGAAGTAATCAGCAAAACTAAAAGGCAACCCACGGAATGGGAGAAGATATTTGCAAATAACATATCAGATAAAGGGTTAGTATCCAAAATCTACAAAGAACTTCTCAAACTCAACGCCCATAAAATAAATAATCCAGTGAAGAAATGGGCAAAAGACATGAATAG